CACAACACAACACAACACAACACAACACAACACAACAGCTTAGCCATTCAAGTACGGCGGCTGAAATTTAAGTGTGCTCTGCTCAATCCACAAGAAAGGCAACCCCGCCATACGCGCCAACTACCATGCGATCAGCATTCTAAGCATAGGTTACCAGGTCTTGTCGAGCGCATTTGAAAGACTGAAGCCCACTGTCAAAGAACTGATTCGATCTTATCAGTGTGACTTTAGACCTGGTAAATCCACAACGGACCAGGTATTCAGCTTACGCAAAATATTGGAAAAGATCCTCGAGAAAAGGATCGACACTCACCATATATTTTTCGAGTTCAAAGCCGCTAAGGAGTTGCCTATACGAAACTGATGCGGCTGTTTAAGATGACGTTGAACAATACCACCAGCTCCGTCGCTCCGTCAGAATTGGGAAATACCTATCCGACCCATTTGCTTCTAAGCGGGTTTTCAGCCAAGGTGACTTTCATGTGATTTCTGTAATCTGAGGTTGGAAAAGATAATCAGAGCCGCAGAACTGAACCGCTCAGGAACAGTTTACTAAAAGAGCACGCAATTGCTGGCGTATGCCGATGACGTCGACGTACGACACCCATATTCTAACCCCCCTATTTTGAATACATACGGTGCACGATAAACACTTGCATTCCGTTAATCCCTATTGGGCGTGGCTGATTTGTGTTGGATCACAATAAAAAGTGAACAAAAACCACAGCCATTCCCAATAATACATCTGTCGGGCGTATGAAAACGATAATACGAAAATGATTTTGTACGATACGCTTGCAAGCGAGAGAAAGATTTACGGGCCTTTACGCGTTGGTGACGGCGACTACCGCAGTCGGTGGAGCTATACAGCTGAGCTTTATTTATTTATTGGGATTAAATATGATATACATACATGCTGTTCATCAAACCTGGCAAATAACCTAGGATATAATTTTAAAACTATTTAGAGGTTTCCCTTAAACTGGAAAAAGCCTTGAAAACTTCGAAAAACTCAAAACATGCATCACTTGATCATGTGTGAATTGCAGCGGAATAGCTGAGCTTGATTGTAGTTGGCTTAACAAATGAAATAGTGGAAAAAAGCAACAAGAATTCACAAGGCGAACTTAGCACAGTGCGTAGGCAACTGGCTGAGTTAGAGGGGTCGTCGGTTCGAATCCTACTGAAAGAAGTCTGATGAGGAAATGTGGTGATTTCCGAAATATCTATCACTTCTACAATTTTTTCAATTTGTTGTTGCTTTTCACAATAAGTTTTTCATTAAAAACGGTCTCAAGCTCAATAAAAATGGTTGAATATAATTGTTATAAGGCCATAAAATAACAAAAAAAAAACAATTGTACGGACGTTACGTTACGGACATTACTCCTTTTGAAAACATTGATTTTTTAAAGCGATATTGTTGTATTTTATTAAAAGGTAAAGTGCTTAAAACCAATGCTATTTAGAGCTTTGTTTCAAGAAGTAAGAGGGTCAAATCAGATTTCTCAAATAAATATGAAATAAGAATATCGAGCCCTAACCGCCAAAATAACGCAAGCGACATATTTTTCAAAATTTTGTTTTTGATGCAGAAATATTCCAACAGCATCTAGATACATTTCTGCATCAAAACGAAAATTTTCAAAAAATGTCGCTTACATTATTTTGACGGTTAGGCCTCGATATGTTGTGCTATGGCTTTTTTGACTAAAAAAATGAAAGAATTCGAATTGCATTGATTTTGTGCGATTTTGGTTGACTATTTCTCGGATTCGCCCATATGTATACAAGTACTAGGTGGCTGTGTGAAAATTACGTTAGCATTCTTAAGTGGTGGTCAAAACCCAGGAAAGTTTTGCTCCATCGCATCGCAATGTTTTCTACACAGTATTAAAGTTCCCCCTTTTTTGTAAAAATTAGTATTTTTTTCATTACATTCGGTTAGGCTTACAAAAATTTGGTGCTTAATATTTTAGTGGAAATTTTAACCATCTATAAGCCATTTTTTAATTACCGCGGGTCCCGAAATCTATAACTAAGATTAATTCATGTTTTAAATTAATTTTAAATAATAAAGAAAACAATGAAAGATCTTTCTTCTTCTGATATTTTTTTTTTGCTTTATTGTTCGTATTTGACTCAATAAAACATAAAAAAGTGCTTATTTCTTAAAACGTTTTTAAAGAGAATTTTCTGAATTTTCGGAGGTTGCAAGTTTTATCGGGAGTGTCGGGTAAATATTTTTGCTCCGTCCCGCCCCCAAAATTTTTAAAGATCTTCCCGACACCGTGCATCCCGGCCATTTTGAAGTCAGTACGTGGATCCCGCGGTTTCCATACGCGCCTGCGTCGCCGCCGCCGCCGATTCTTTTTGTGGTTGACCACGCCGCCCCGCAAAATAAAAATAGTTTCTTAAAGGTTTTTTTGTTTTTTAAATCCCCTCAAATGACAAAACGGTTTAAGCTTGAAAAATTTGCATAAAAATATTTTTAAACAATTTTAGAAAAATGTTGAACGGAATCGTAATAATCAGATTTTTGATGCTGTTTTTTAACTTTTTTCAGAGATTGGTATAAGAAAAATTTGAATAACTGAACCTGAACTCTTCTGATTTAGGCTTGTGAGGCGTCATTTGATAGGTATTTTCTGACCCTCTTTATTTCTTTGCTAAGAAAAAGTGAAAAATTGGGACACGAATGACTTGTTTTTGGACACAAATAAAAATAGTGGGAAAATACCTTTCTACTGAGATCCCATAAGTCTAAATCAGAATAGCTTTGGCCCAGTTATTCAAGATTTTCGAAAATTAATCTTTTAAAAAAGTAAAAAAACAGCATCAAAGATCTCATTATTATGGTTCCGTTGAAAATATTTTTAAATATTTTTATGCAGATTTTTTAAGCTTAATCTGTTTTGTCATCTGAGGGGACTTTTTCCAAAAAAGTTCTTTAAGAAACTATTTTTATTCATAAAAAAAGATATTTTTTTGAATCGGTTCAGCTCACTTAAATCTTAATATTTTTCCGAAATATTTTGGTGGACATCTTATAATATATTTTGTAATACCGGCGGAAAAACCGCAACTTTTTTTGGTGATGCAGTCTAATGTACATACATATGTACATAAATATATCTTGCCAGTTATACTGCACAACGTTCTATGTCTATTATTACATGTTGGGCTTAAATGGTTCGGTAGGTGTAACTGACAGATTTACAGATACCAACCATAACATCAGTTATTAATTACTTAGTAATAATAAATTTCAGGATAAAGACGATACTGTTATAAATGATTTGCCAGACATTCCGCATCTTGTGGGCAGTGGTCGTAGTGTGGGAGGTGTCGTATCGGAGACGGTGGGCGCCTTGTCCAATGAAAATCCGGGCGAAACTCAACCTGTTCAGCTGCAGCGCATAGTATCACGATGTAAATGTGAATTCTTCTACGTTAGCTACGGTGACACTATCGATCCAAATACTATAACCGAAGTTCCACCGCCACCCTCAGAGGAAACTCTATCGCCGTGGGAAAAACAGGATGATCCAGTGGA